TACATGGCTCTTGCAGACCAGATACGGTGGTAGGTGAGATATCTTGCTTAACTTTCTCCCATGAAGGCAGGTCACCATTGATGGTTTCCTACTCTCTACTGGTCACAGTGATTTTTAAAACTGATTCTTGTGTTTTGGGGAATGCAGAATGTAAGGTAAGTTGTTCCCTCTAAGATTAATAATAATAATAATAATAGATGTTCTTTGTAATTTTAGAATCCTGAAGCAAATTAGAAACCCATTTTTATTTGTTTTACTATTGTTTCTTAAAGAGTGTTTGGCCTTTAGCCGGGCTCTGAGGCATTAAGTCTCAAACTATATTTTTAACGCCATACCACCGGCATAATGGGTGCAGGTACCTTAGTGTATATGGTGGAAATATCTGATGGCTGACTAACTTCCTATCTTTGAGCATCTGAAGCATACTCAGGTAAACAATAGACCTCAGAGTACAGAGTGGAAACCATTACACTATGGAACCCAGCTCACAGGTAAAGTGTGGACCTTCATAGCCTAACTGGTAAGATCTAGTAAAGAAATCAATTTATAGCTCTGAAACGGAAGTATATTTTAACTTAGAAAAGTTTTACAGACCCTTACAAGCATAGAACAGGGTCTGGATCACAGTAGGTAGTAAGACAACAGGTAAATGCATTTAAAAACAGACGTGGGTGGAAAGAGATAGGAAAGTAACCATATTAATCTTCTTCTGTATTTTTGAGTACTTTTCAAGGCTTTGCCATTGTATTAGATACCAAAGTGTGCACAGAAACATTAGAAATATTAAAAAAAAACCAACACACACCCTTCTTAGAACTGGCACAAAATTTTCATTTATTCAGCAATGATATTTTGGAATCCAAAGGGACAAACTAGGACCTGAGGAAACTCAGATAAAACAAAATAAATTAACTGCTTGACTGCAAAATATTAACTCCCATTAAGGTGTAAAAATATAAGTTGTTGATAATTTAGAGTCCTCACTAAAATATTTTTCTAAAAAAAGGCTTTTCCACCCTATTGATTTAATCAAAGAATATTATTCAGTGGTCTAAATTGGTGGAAAGAATGCAATAGTTGTGTTTATTAGCATTGATATTTTATGATAAATTATTAATGTTAAATGTCAAATTCACCAAAAAGACTATGAATATCACAGTAATTGGTATTGCAACCATCTATTAGGAAGCGCCGGTGGCCAACCAGGCACTCAGCTATACGTAGGTTCTGATTAGGTGGTAATGTGTGAGAAGAAAAGGGATATCTACTACAAAATATATGAACTTTTTTAAGGATTATTGTTGGCTGCCTTGAAGTCTACAGTGGCTTCTGGACACCACATGGCACACAACTGTAGAGGAGGACCTCTCCACAACATGTTTCAGATTGTAGCCTTTGGAAGGAGATTGTCAGATCTGTCGAAGGTGCATCTGGGTGGATATGAAGTGTAATCACTTGGAGACCTTTACAAAGACTGATACTTGAATGCTGTCCCTAAGGACTTTTGTTTGAGTTGTTATAAGGTACCTAGGTTTTGAAATGTTAAGGGTTCATTATTCTTACAATGATCACTTAAGTTTGTGAATCACTGGGTGTTTTTTTTTTTTTTGGTTTGGTTTTGTTTTTTTTTCAAATTCCAATTAAGACAGAAAAAACAATACTGGAGTGAAATAGCACCACATTGTGATTTTAATTTGCATCTCTCTTATTGCCAGTGATTTGGAGCATTTCTTCATGTGTCTATTTGCCATTCAAATATCTTCCTCTGTGAAAATTTTTTCCATGTCTTTTGCCCATTTTGCAACTGGATTAGTAGTCTTTTTCTTGTGGAGGCCCAGGAGTATTCTGTAAACTTTTGTTATATAGGACTTTTGTCTGAGATGGTATTACCAAATGTTTACTCCCAGTCTGTAGGTTTTCTTTTCACCTTGCTGGGAAAAGGTTTTGATGTAAACAAGGATATAATCTTTAGAAAGTCCTTTGCATCAATTTTATTCTCTTTAGATTGTGCATTTCTGGTTGTATTTGGCAGTTTTTTTTATACCTTGGACTGGTGCTTCTAAGCTTAATCCCTCTTTATCTCTTATGAATTTTATGGTTTGGGGCTTTACTCCCAGGCCTCTGATCCATCTTGAGTTGATTTCTGCATCTTACTCCAGTAACTGTGGTAAAATTTAACAGGGAAGCAAGTAATAAATGTTGGAGAAGACGTGGCAAGAAAGGAAATCATACATTGTTGGTGGGATTGTAAAATGGTCCAACCATTCTGGAATGCAGTGTGGTGCTTCCTTAAAAAGCTGAACATAGAAATTCCATATGACCCAGCTATTTAAATTCCACTACTTGGAATATATTCTGAGGAAATGAAAATTGAGGTACAAATGGAGATTTGTACACCAATGTACATAGCAGCATTATTCACCACTATAAGAACATAAAACAGCCCAAATGTCCAACTACAAACAAATGAATTGAGAAATTATGGTACATTAACACAATAAAATACTATGCAGCAGGCAGGAGCAATGATTTTGCAAATTATTACCTAACTTGGAAGGGCCTGGAGAGCATTATGCTGAGCGAACTAACTCAGTCCCACAAGGATAAATAGTGTATAAAACCATTCTTGTAGAATGAGTATAAAGATCCAAGAGGGGTGGCAGAGGTTAGAAGCAGAGGGATGAATATGTGCAGGGAAAGGGGTAATTAATTATGGGGTTGTACAATTTGTTGGGTAGGGGAATGAGAGAAATTGAAAGAATTTGTTCTTGAAAATAATATATTCTAATTTTGTAAATAAATTAGTTGTTGTTGTTGTTGTTGTTGTTGTTATGTGCTGTCGAGTCGTTTGCGACTCATAGCGACCCTATGCACAACAGCCCTAAACCCTGCTCTATCCTGCGCCAACCGCACTGCCTCTGACACACCCATCCTGATTACCCCAGTCACCTAATCAATCCATCTCATAGAGGGTCTCCCCCTCCTGCACTGTCCCTCCACTCTACCCAGCATGATGTCCCTCTCTAAAGGCCTGTCTCTCCTTATAACATGTCCAAAGTATGTCAGACAAAGCCCCAGAATCCTTGCCTCCAAGGACTAGCCTGGTTTTTAAAAAAGAGAAAGAAAAACAATACTAATTAATGCTAAGGATAAAATTTATTCATGACTTTAAAGGTTTCCCTTCTAAATCAAGAGATATGATGATGATTGCCTAGATGATGAGACAAGTGTGCAGAAAACAATTGAAATTAACAGAAAAATATTACCCTTAAAGAATTTCTAGATACAACAATCTAAAAATACTTTTTGATATGGTTTGTTAGTTATGGGTGTGATTCATCAGATTCATAGAGAAATCCAAATGCAAATTCTATATGTTGTTGTTGTCGTCTTTGTTATGTGCCGTCGAGGTGCTTGCGACTCATAGCAACCCTATGTACAACAGTCCTAAACTCTGCTCTGTCCTGGGCCAATTGCACCGTCTCAGATACTCCCTTCCTGATTACCCCATTAACTGAATCAATCCACCTCATAGAGGGCCTTCCCCTCCTGTGCTGTCCCTCTACTCAATGAAGCATGATGTCCCTCTCCAAGGACTGGTCCCTCCTTACAACATGCCCAAAGTATGTTAGATCCAAGTAAAAATTCTATATGCAAAGTAAGATTTTCCAAAATTTATGAACAATCATTAGCAGAATGGTGTAGGTGTTTTGTTTCTATGTCATTTTTACTTTACTAATATTACGAGGTAAATCATAGCATCCCAGGCAACTCCATTTTTTCATTTTTCTTTTACCAATAATGAAATGACAATTCATTGCTGTCTTGCCAGACACTTTGTTAGGGTATTTAACAGGAGTCAAAATAGCCAGTTGCCAGTGAAGTCAACCGTGAATCAGATTGTTTTCTGTGCAGTGTGGTGTGCAGCTCCAGAAGTCATCAAAGGCTGATTCTCAGCAATGGATCATTCACCTTGTCTTTACATTCACTTCTAAATGGACCGAAACCTCCAAGCTCTTGTCTAGTAACTCAGTGTGCTGACCATTTGCCTCATCTAGGGACTCCTAACATATTTATATGTGTGTAGAAAAATAATGGCATACATTGTGTATACTGCGCTGAAACAGATGAGGGAGTGAATAATTTAAAAGCGATGTATGATAGGGTCTTATGGTTATCACAGGAGTCCACATTTAAGGTTGCACAGTGGAATGTACTTGGGGCAGTGGGAGGGGTGTGGGGGGATTGTGTACCAGGGAAGTTGTGTTTCTTTTACTTTTGAAAGAGAGGA